TTACTAGTAAGAATTGAATTAGAGAGCTCTATAATCATAATTGTTACTAGTAAGAACTGAATTAGAGAGCTCTCTAATTCAGATCTTACTAGTAAGAATGCAGTTGCAGAGCTCTCTAATTAAATTAGAGAGCTCTCTAATTATAATTGTTACTAGTAAGAATTGATTTAGAGAGCTCTCTAACTGACATTGTTACTAGTAAGAATTTAATTGTAGAGCTCTCTAATTGAATTGTTACTAGTAAAAATGCAATTACGACGAGTAAGGCTGGGAACAATTTAAGCTAAAACGGCTTGCCATAGACAAGGGGCATGTCTCCGTTGATATGCGCGAGCTCGCCTCGTCCTCTGCTGGTGAGGGAGAGGCGGTGAAACGGGAGAGTGGGGTAGTAGCGTCGAGGAGGGACAATAGGGAATTTGCTGACAGTGGGTGTGGTGCTCAGCATCCGAAGAGCTGACTGAGTGGTGATCACCAAAACAGGAAATTATTGTTCCACTATGTGTTCTTTGTTTGTAAATAATGTTCAAATCAAATTTGATAAAACCTCTTAACGGTTGGCATATCATCAGATCACGTTAGTAATTAGTTTCTCTAATTGTATACATTTCAGTGCCTGTACACTAGTTTTATAAAGCCAGACGGAAGTTTAAGTTGTCAGTTGTTTCATTGTAAGGACAAGATCATTATTCTGCAAAAAGTGATTTTCTCGCTGCTGAACCCCCCCCCCCCCAATAGAAACCGTTACAGAATTTTTACTGGTTTTATTGATTATAATGGGAATCGTACTGGTTTTAATGGAAACTGTAATGGTCCCTGTGGGTCTCTACTGGTAATTTGTCACTTTAGTGCAGGGGTGTCCAAACTCTGTCCTGGAGGGCCGGTGTCCTGAAGAGTTTAGCTCCAACCCCAATTAAACACACCTGAACCAGCTAATCAAGCTCTTACTAGGCATACTAGAAACTTGAAGGCAGGTGTGTTGAGGCAAGTTGGAGCTAAACTCTGCAGGACACCGGCCCTCCAGGACCGAGTTTGGGCACCCCTGCCTTAGTGGCTTGTTATAGCCTAACCCAGGGGTGCCCAACCCTGCTCCTGACGATCGACTGTCCTGCAAAGTTTAGCTCCAACTCTAATCAAAGACACCTGCCTTTAATTTTTAAGTGATCCTGAATACCCTAATTAGTTGCTTCAGGTGTGTTTGATTAGGGTTGGAGCTGAACTTTGCAGGACAGTCGATCGCCTGGAGCAGGGTTGGGCACCCCTGGCCTAACCATTAAATCCTAATGGAATACGTCCCTAAACACACTACAGGAAACCATTTTTAATGATTAATGGTTAATAGTTGATGGGCTATGTAATGTTTGTAAGGGTATTTGGAATTTCTGTAATCGTTTCTATTATTTTTTTCATTAACTATCTAAACATTCTTAAATCAAGAGACATTTCCTTTTTGCCTACTTGACAAGCAAGATGACATAAGATATTAAGTCTTGTTTTCTCATAGAATTATCCAAATGAAGCAAATTTATGTATAAAATAATTTTTTACGATTTCCCCCCCTCTTTTTAGAGTCATGTCTTAATTATGGAGCGTAGCTGGACAAGTTCATTTTACTGCCTTAAAACAATCAGCCCTTTTCCTGCAGACCAAACTTACAGTTTAAGGGGGAGCGTTGGAAAGAAACAGTAGCCATTCGCCTTATAATAAGTCAGAGTTCCATCTGAGCGACTTATGATTTTTTTCATGGTAAAAATCTTAAATAGGCTACAGTTGCTTTAAGCAAGAACTCACTTAACCCTCATCCGTCCCTCCCGAACCTATAACAAAAGTGTCCCTCGCTGGTCAAAATGACCCGAAGGCCAAAAATGACAATTTATTTATTTTTTGGTCCAGAAAGCTTATATTGGTCCATTTTTATTTTATTTTTAATGTAGGGTTTTTTTTCATTATTTTTTGGTTATTTTTATTTTATTCACATTAAATTCTGGATACTTTTTTTAATGAAAATTAGCATATTTTTGTAAATTTTTTTCACCAAAAACCAAAGAAAGACACAATTTCTGCATATTTATACTTTAAACATGATGATTCATCCGGACCTAGGTCACTAAGTGTCTCTGATGCCATCTGGTGGGGGTAAATGACATAAAACTGTATTTTATGATTACAGCCACTAGAGGGGCCTATAGAATACTATGGAGATTCTTAAATGAAAAATTCTTACACCAACATGAGGCTTCATTAAGCTTTCAGATATATCTCAACGCTTTCAGCTATATATCAAAACATTTAAAAAAACTATATTTTGCACAAAAAAAAAAAATTATATATATATTTAAAAAATGAAATTGATGCTGAATTTTAATCCAAACATATGCATACAGTTTCATAAATATGTAATAAATATAAAAGATACATTTAAAAATATAAACATGATATTAACTCATTGGTCTCCACCCCATCATTCAAATTTAACCAAAAAAAACCAGACAAACATACTGAAGAAGAAAAGCTAATTTTGCAGTGCA